TTGTCACCAATTTTTCTAGCTCAATGATCAAATTACATGTAGGTTTCAAACAACCTTTTATCGATTATGATTTTTAACTGACGATGTTTAATTTGACAGAAAATGGTGAACACTGAGTTAAATCATGTTATCCCATTAGCATGTTGCTTGCATGTATTTAATCTCATCGCCAAGAAGGTTGTTGCACATGTAGATATGAAAGGAACAGTTGGAATTGATCGAGCACTAGTTAACTTTTTCAGATCTTCAAGCTTTTGGAGTCACAAGTTGTCAAAATGGCAAAAGAAAGAGGGTGTTACAGTCAAACCCGCGCAAATGCATACCCGCGCAGGTGCATAACCCTTGATAATGCATAGAAAAAATCTAGAATCTTGACGCTTTTTACTGCCAAATTTGACAACAGAAATGCATAACCCGTCAAAATGCATAGCAAAAGTCTTCCACCCAAATTATGCGTTTGCGCGGGTTTGACTGTACTCATGTTCTTTGTACCTTCTGTGAATCTAGGTGGTATTCAATGGCAAAAGTTGCAATGTCTGTTGAAAGCCACCAAAAGGGATTTCAAAGCTGTCTTGCAATGTTGAGAGACAAATTGGTACCGACTTCAAACATCAACAAAAATATCATCATCACCATTGAGAATTGTGACCATTTTACCTCAAACTCAATCCTAGTAAAGCTTCTTTGACCAATTGTGAACGCTATTGGGCAATTAGAATAAGCAAACACATCAGTTAGAGATATTTGGAAAGAGATTGGCAATGTCTATCAGCAACTCCTAGCAATTGATCTTTCCAGCTATCCTCGATTTTAACCCTTCAAAGCTCAATGGTTACAAGTCCTACACGGGCATGCCAAATTATTCAACAAACCAATATACATCATTGAATTCTTCTTAAACCCAATGTTTCGTCAAGTCGCTGTTTCAAAGTCCTTCACAATTGATGATATGATCAATATGATCATACCATTATCAAAATCCTGGAACTACAAGAAGGCTGATGCCTTAAGCCTTTGTGAGCAAGTGTTACACTACTTCAGTGGTGTTGGAATCTTTTGTGTTTCAACAAAAAGTAAGTGTATGTTTTTATATTTGTAATATTTCTATTGACTGATATGTTTGACACTACAGTTAACCACCCAATCAACTTCTGGCTTGCTCTTCCAACAACTCCACAAAACTTTCAACTCAAAACCTTTGTGATCCGAGTGAAAGAGCTTGTTGCCCATGCTGTAGGCGTTAAAAGCATCTTCTTGATGATGGGTTCCACAAAAACTGAAATCACCATTCCATGAAGATATCTACTTTAAAGATGCTCTCACAAATTGAGCTCAGTGTGAAGGATGAGCACGCCACTGCTCAAGTCTATCAAAAATATGTTGACAAAAACAAGAACAACAATGACAACACTCACATTGGAGTGATCTTCACAGGAATTGATAATTTACAAGAATTTGAGCAAGGAGTCTTTGCCCTTCATGCTTTGGTTGAAGAGGAAGACAATGAAACTCATGACCACATGGGATTCATTGATACCCTTTTTGATTTCACTCACTTCACTCGCAATCCGACCATAGGCTCAATTGATAAAGATACCTCTAACACTCAAGGAGAGAGTGATAACAAGTCATGGGGCATGGATGATATATGTATTTGACTACTCCAATAGGATTTATATTTTCTTATATTTTATTTTATTTGTCTTGCGCCTCAGCCAAATTGCTAGTTACTTTTTTTCATCAGGGTGTTTTCCTACTTGTCTGACACGTTTTGTGACCCCAGCCAAACCACTGATAGTTGTTTTTTGATTAAATACATGTTTTTTTCTTGCACCTCTGGCGCCTTTCGCGCCCCCAGCCAAACTGGGCGCGCCTCGGGAGCTCCCTGAAAAGTCGCGCCCACCACGTGACATGTAGGCATCTGAAAATAGCACCTACATTAGAAAATTGAAATGTAGGCGCGGTTTTGTTACACCTACATGATGCAGGCACTTGGGTATTGCACCTACATTCCAAACTTCAAATGTAGGCACTCAAAAATTGCGCCTACATTTCAGATTTTGAATGTAGGCTCTTCTTTCCAGGGCCTACATTCAAATTTATACATGGAGGCTGTATGTAGATGCTTGAAAAATCCCCTGCAATTCAAAAAGGCCATGTGGGTGGCGCCTACAATTAATTTGATACACAGAAAGGATATTGAAGGACAGAAAAACTGTCTTAAATTGCAAACAGAATATTGGAGGACAGAAAAACTACTTTGAGTTCCAAACACAATAATAAAGGATGGAAAAACTATTGTGAGTTGTGAAAACAATAACAAAGGAAAGGTGGGAAAAGGATATTGGAGGATGGAAAAACTATTTTGAGCTGCAAACAGGATATTGGAGCACAGAAAAACTATTTTGAGTGGTGAAAAGGATAACAGAAGATGGAAAAAATATTTCAAGTGGTGAAAAGGATATTGGAGTCCACAGAAACTATGTTGAGTTGCAAATATTTGAATTTCAAGTTGCTAAAAGGATAGCAGAGGACAGAATGATTCCATCTGAAAGATGATGTGAAATGTTCTTTCAAATTCTGTCCTGTTATCCTTTTTGCCACTCAAAATAGTTATTCCAATCTCTGATATCCTTTTTTCAACTTGAGCTAGTCTTTCCATCCTCTTTTATTGTCTTTGCAAGTTGAAATAGTTTCTCTGTCCTCTGTCATTGTTTTTGAAACTCAAAATAGTTTTTCTGTCCTGTGTTATTGTTTCCACAACTCACAATAGCTTTTCTGTCCTCCAATACCCTGATTGCAACTCAAAAAATGCTCTTGTGGTAGGTGCAAAGGTGTTTTATGTGGTTCTCAAATACCAGTCTGACCAGTCCTGAGTTTTATGCGCTGCATCACAGCCAAAAAATGTAGGGGCTTGTTTTTTAGAGAAAAAAGTGCTTACATTGAACTCCCTATGGAGGCGCTTGATAATTGTGCCTACATCTGAAATTGGAAATGTAAGTGCTCAAAAATCACGCTTACATTCAAAATTTCAAATGTAGGTGCCTTTTTTTGAGCGCCTACATTTGAGGTCCCACAAAATTGGATGTAGGTGCATGGTTGATAGCCCCGCTAGTCCATGGACCAGGGAAATCTACCTCGTACCTCGTCCGGGTGCCAAATCATTCAAGAGCATGATCAAAAGAAACATTAATCTTGGCGGGTTCTTCTCATGTTACCTTCCTTGAATTTAACAGCTCAAACCAATCTCTGGTTGGATTTTTGATTCATGTTTACCCAATTTTATAAATCCATTGGTACTGATCTGTAGAATGTAGCTACTAGAGGCTGCGTATCAACTTGCATCTGGAATATACTTGAATGTTTGAACATTTTTAACATCAAGTTTTGATGTGATGAAAAAAGAATCATTCTGTTCAAACTCAGTAAAATATAAAAGCGAGTGAGAATCTGAACTGTTAGAACCGTTACAGAGGTTTAAAGTGACGATGCGATTCAGTGATTCCGATAAAACTCAATGCTCGAACTAAATTCAATTTCCACCTAACTAAGAAAAAATCATTAGTTTTGAGAAGATAGTGCTAGATAGAAACAGAGAGTCGGATTGATTGAGCTGCTCACATTTGTTTTGATGGATTCTTTGTTAAACTTCATTCATCTTTGGAGTATGTCTATTCGTATAACAAAGCTCCTCAGCTTTTCAAGACCATCTTTTTCTGGTGGTACAAACTACCGCATTTTTTAAAGGAACCCTTAACTTGAGTGTGGATGAATACACGCAACAGGTGTCATATTATTACCTGCTTGCTCGCTTTGTAACTCTTTCTAGTGATTTTCTTATCACAGCTAGGTCAATTTAGTGATTTGAAATATCGAGAGAGAGAGAGGGCTTGGTAAGATTCAAAAGTCAGACACATTATTCCGACAAGACTTAGCTGCGGCTGTCCCCTGAATTAGCGGGGTAGACACACTTCTTTATCACAGGTCTGGTGTAAATGATTGGACCAGGGGCAAAAAGTTAAACGAGGATAGGTGTCAAATAGATGTTTTTATCAGTTGGAATACTGTATATTTTTATCAAGGTGAACTGTTTTATAGATACAACAAGTTGATTGTCTCAGAATCTTTTGATAGTTATCAAATAGGCTTGGTTGACTGCACTGAGTCTGGGCTTGTATGTTTGTGAGGCTCCCAAAAAAATTGATGAAGTCCACTCAAAGAGTGGGAGGAGCTGCAGCCATTTGGCCAACTAACTATCCGTATTCAGCTATTGAGAATTCTTATCATGCTATCCTCAAACTGTTCTCACAAGTACCTATGTAGTCTCTGATGACATATAGCTCTTTGAATTAAATAGAAAACACACTTATAAATTATCCGTAAAAAACAATAACTAGCTATGAATAAAGCAGACCCAAAATGAATAACTTAAGAACCAGTACATGTACAATTTTTTAACAGTTGAGATAACATGAAACCTGTTTTACATAGAAGAATAAAGACAAGGACTATACGTGAAGAAGTTGATAATGCAGTTTAACCAAGATATCCATCTAGAGAGAAATTGATCACAATTTTATGATCCTGGTGCATTCCTTCACCACCAGGACATATGGCGTAGTCATCTTGCTCTTCCATAAATGAAGGAGCAAGGATGAAAGGATCCGCTAATTCTCATGTCCAAAGAATGGAGACATGGAGGAATAGAGAAAATGAAAGGATGGGAAATAGTCAAGATCAAACTATACATGATGAAGGAATTCACAATTGGATCTTCAAGAAAGAAGGAAAGGTGAGAATCGAGTGGTCGATTCGAGGGTCCAGTTAAGATTGGATTGAGTGAATCCGCCGAGAATTTAACGGTTGAGTTTAATGAGCAATAAGTTAACATCTCGAGATAGCAGAAATGATCGGAGGAAGATCCTGAAACGTCCCAAAATCAAAAAGCAAAAGAATCAGAACCTATTTGAAGAAAAACAACATCAATGAAAATTTAATACTCACCGTGTTTTCATCTTACAGCGAGCATCTTGCAACCAAATCCACAAGGCTTCAATCATTAATTGAAACAATTCTTCTTTTGTCAATGGTTCTATCGGCTCTGCAATACCAAGACCTCTAACAAAGTCCTCTTCCATTCTACTCGCGATGGAATCGGTAACTCGTCGTCCTCGCAGTTCGGCCTTTCTTCTCGGGAAGATAACTTTGGGATTCTTCAATTGATACAATAGACCTCGTGCACAGAATGTCAAGCGTTCAAGTGCCAGTCGGTCATGAGAAGGAATGAGGGGATCTCCTCCTGATGCTGGTTCGAGAGTTTCGGTAACGGAGGAAGGCCCAAGACCGTCGCACTTCCCATGTTCCTCGAGTTCGTCCTTGAGATAAGGACGTTTCGCGAAAAGGATTTCGGTCAAGGGAGGGGGTGGATCCTCGGAACTAGATAATGAGATGTCAATAAATTCGGAAGTCAGCTGTGAATGGATTGGATCAAGATTAAAGAAAGATGGGACATACTCTCGGTGCAACCTGACAGACGAACGTTTGACACAGCGGCGCCGGATCCTTTGCTTGATATGCTCGGGAATGGAAGTCGTCTTGAAGGTCTTATGATACCGCGGATCGAATGCTCCGTCCGAAAGCAGAGACGAGATATACACCATCTTACAAGGAACTAGTGAATGGACTGAGAGAAGCGAAAACGGAGAGGAGGATGAGAATTTAAAAGTACTACAAAGGTTCGGTTAAAGTGAAAACTTGGAGGTGGTCGCTTGGTTGAAGGTAGTGAGGTAGTGAAATTGAGATGATAGGGATGAATGAGATGGAAATCGATTTGAAAGTGGTGGTAGTGAAAATGGTTGGTTCTGTATCCGAAGAACTGAAGTCAACGAATTTTATGATCCGGAGATCAGCTTTTGAGAATGTGCTGATCAGCTAGAAGGCTTGTATTGGGGGAATACTTGCCGCGGCCACTTCCAGATTTGTGATCACGAGACTCGCTGAACGGAACCCCCCCAATCGTTTCATGTTTGTTTGTTTGTTTGTTTACTGTATTTATCTCACCTTATTTTGCCGACTGAGCTGGCTATGATCGCGAATGAGGCTCAGAGTTTTCCGGCTGGTGATACGCGTTTTCCGGCTGGTGATACGCGTTATGTGTGGAATAAATCGAAGTCTTGGATCTTTGGGATCATTGACCGGAGATTGAGGGAATGAAGAGTCAGTTCTATGAGATATGGATTCTTTGTTGCCACCAGAAAACAACTTACCAATCTCTGCAGCTCAAAGCGCTATCTGTTTGCTTTTCGCCAAACGCCAGCCCATGTTGGATGTAATGGGAATCCTATCAAACATATCTGCGCGACCTATGCAGGACATCATCTCAATGATCTCAGCAAGTTTCCTAATTCCCTGTGAAGATCCTGTTCGTTAGATTGATCCGAAGCAACCAGCGATGAATCCCCTTCAAAATCATTGTTTGGGACCGGCAAGCCTTTAGGAGTCCTTTGCGAACTTTTCCATCCAGCCTTAGCCCGCAACTTCTTTTTCTGCGATTGGTTCATGAGGTTGATCCAGACGCGGAAAGGTTACCATATAATCTCAGTGATTGGCGAAAATGAGTATTCGAGCTGGACACCAAAGGCATTCCAGTATTTGGAGTTAGTTGAATTGAGACTTTTCGATGTGGTCTGAACAAGCCGATCAACACATCCATTGAAAGGTAGGAACACGGCTTCAGATATCAGTCTGATAAATTCTATAGAGGGCCTTCTTTTCCTCCAGACGGTTTCGCGCTTTTGTTCAGCTGCAAAGCCTAAACACACAAAGCTATATTGCCTCGTACGCGAGCATTTCTCGGCTTGCGCCAATCACCAGTACTATATTAGCATTTTGTTTAGAATTACTGTGCTTCAAGAAAGAAAAAAAATGCGTTGCTTACTTTGTATTGACTTAGGATCGGCAGGAGACGGGTATGAAAACTGATCTTTTACATTTTTGTCTAAAATTCTCTTCTTCTTACTTACCACTACCTTCCCATCCAAATCTCTTTAACCCAACTTGATCCCTTCTTACTCGAATTCCATATCAACCACCTTTTCTGATATCTAATACACATTTTGCTCGAAATAAAAATATCACTTTTGGCCAGACTATAAGAGAATATTTCCAATATTTGGTTATTAAATTGTTTCAACAAAAATCTTACTTATTTTCTTGTTTATGTTTGTGAAATATATGTCTTTTGGATGATTTTCTCATCAGTGTCTTACTTGTGGGCTTGTCTATTTGTTTATTTACACGTTCTTCAATCGTGCTCTAAAATCATAATGATTTATTATCTTGGATCTATTGGAAGCTTTTATTAAGTTCCCGTCTCCGAAGCGTTGAAGGCTTTGCGAGACCGAATCCAAGCACGGATCGAATTAGAATGATTTTTACAATCTTCACACATTCCATCACGTTTATTGCTATCTAATCTCCTTCAAATTGAGAATCTAGGACTATTTGCTCATTACCGTGTATCAACAAACATTTACTTATTTTCTTGTTTATGTTTTTTGAAATATCTGTCTTTTAGATAATTTTCTCATCAGTACGGTAGTTGGTTGGTTGTTTGTTTGTGTTCATTTACACCTAATTCAATCGTACTCTAAATCCTGATCATTCATCATCTTGGATCTATTGGGACCGTTTACTGAGTTCCCGTCTCTAGACAGTGACACCTAATTCAGTTGTACTCTAAATCCTGATCATTCATCATCTTGGATCTATTGGGACCGTTTACTGAGTTCCCGTCTCTAGACAGTTGCAGGCTTTGCGAAAGCGCATGTGAGTTACAAACTATTTGTGAGTATGCGAAGGCTTCTGCAACTCGCGTGAGCCTCCGAGCGCGGTCCACGCGTATTTCGTTGCAATCTAAAGACGCTCAAAGTGTTATATCTTGAAGACCCTTCATCTCAGAGGTTCGCTACATAGTCACTTCAATTTCATTGTGATCGCCAACCAAGTCACGACTTGGTGTATAATTCTAAGACTGAGTGGGATGGTAGTAGTCAGAAGTTCTTGTATGATTGTAGGGAGGGTATCTCAAGCAGTGAGTGCTCGTGGTAGCAAGGTGGAAAAATTTTAGATTCCCACTACCACCGTGACCTCACCTCCTGCGCCCAAGCAGAACGCATCTGAACACCACTAAGATCTCACCGCTCAACATTATTAGATTGTGATATACTACTCAGCCCATTCAGGCAAATTCAAGACCGCAAGGTTTGCGAGGCGAAGAGGTTTTCTCACTCACGCACAGACTATGCTTGTCGGAATTAAGTCTGGTTGGTAAATTAGGAAATGATAGACATCGAGCCCACAAGCCCGAAGAAAGTGGATGATTCCTATCAAAGTTTACGAGATAAGGTATCAAAACCATCGACTCTCAAGCTCAGCATAGATATTATGTTGTAAGCTTTTCAAAAATGATATAATATCTCAACTGGAAAGATACTTTATAAAAACTTATCAGCTCTTTTTTATTTGCACAAGATCTGGGGTCATGGATTTTCACTTTTGACCCAAATCAAACCGGTCGCGACATATTTCTACTCTGCTGATGTAAGTGGCAGCGACATTCAAGTTCTTACTTTACATTGCCTCTACAAAGTATAGTTTGTCTAGACATTGAATAAGGGATTGAGGAGGCTCTTCAAATGTGAATTGTCCGAGCAGTCTTTTGAAGGAATTCCCAGAAAGAGTTGGCAAGTGCGTGCGCAGATTAGCAGTTCATGATTTTCAAATTTCAAGGTGATGAATTGATCGCTGCTACATGATGTCCTTCACCACTAAGATAAGTTATGTTAAAACCGAGCTAGTACAACATTGAACTTAAGAAGTTAAAAAGTTGAGACAAGTGCTTATATAGACGATTGAGCAGTGTGGAGAAATTCTCGGGAATTCGAAGTTTGATTGGAAGAATTGATTTGATTAGAGGACAAACTAGCCATGGTCAAGGGAGGTTATTTTGGGAAAAAGTGGTGAACGTATTCAGCAAGATGGCTGGGCAGATGTGATGATTTTCATCAAGATCATGACAATTTACTTAATCTTCAGGGTCGCCATCTATGTCTTTTCAACTCATGCACATTATGAACTTCTTGTTTTTGATCCTTCCTTCTGGAAAAGGAAAGCGATGTCTTCTCTAGCTAATGTAGACATTCGATTACGGTTTAATGCAAAAGGGCTGAAGTTCTAATCCAAAGATGAGATGAAGAGCATTGCATTTCTACAAGTTGAAAACGTAGGAAGATTGGACTACCGAAAATCACGGTGAGCAATATAATGCTTTAGACATCATGCTTTTGCCTTTCAACAGGAATTCGGTTGTCCAAATACATGAAGTTGAACAGCATGGAGATCAACATGAACAATCGAAGTCAACGATGCACTGGTCATGATATTCAATTCGATTATGCTATTCTTCACATATCGCCACGAATCGATTTCCAAGTTGTGAATGAGAGCCTAGACGGTTTATCCACTGACTCGATCATTCGTCATACCCAATCCCATCATAAGGAATGATTAAATCTCATGATCAGAATGGGGTGATGGGCCGCTAATCTTGATACGATCGAGTTGATCCCGTTCGGAGAGGTCTAGATGAAATGAGATTCCATAGAAAGTGGCACTTCTCGTCGATCTGGTTGATTGGATCACATCCTCAGTGGGGTATTTTAAGATCCTTTGATGTTCAATGTTCATGCACCTTTCGTGGGTTATCGTATTCTCGTTTATAGCCAGAAAGTGCTTTTCGTCTTGAAGTCAATATAATCGTTGAACAAACTTTTATAATCAAGTCCAAAATCGTGCCAGGGATTGGACTTGGTTAAGCTTAACATAAGCCCCTCTTCCGACGCGGCCACGTCCGCTCTCGAAGAGGGGCTTAGGGCATACACCCCGAGCTTGGCCTGAGACCAGCAGGAATTTCGAGCACTTTTGCTTGAAATCCCTTTTTGAGGGCTTTAAACATCGTAAAAGGTTGCAAGAAATTCAGGAGTGCCTCTGCTGAGCCTTCTCCTTCACTTCGGACTGTTTTTAGCATGTCACCACTTGTAGATTGTGGGAAAATTGGATTCCAATATCCATGGATTTCAACGGGTTCAGCGCGCGTGCAGGCCCGGAAATTGATTTGGGAGTATTGGCCAAATATTTTGTTTCGGACCCCCATTATTTTGTTTTGGACAGAAGTCCAAAACAAGCTTACGTGCGGCTATCTGCCCCAAGCGCTTTCAATTGTTGCACCCCCGCTCATGCACGACGCGGTTACAACGCGGTTGAACACCACCACCTAATTACCTTTAGACATGCATCTTCGAAGTTCAGCAAGAGAAGCAGCGACCACGAAATCACCGGAAGACAATTCTAATCAAGCAAGTCATTCTCCGAAAGCAATTCAATTCAAGCCAGGTCGACCTCTGATTGAAGAAAAACACAAAAAAAGCTCACCTGACGCCCAAATCGAGATTCTTCAGGCCATGTTCCATACCAAATACGGTTTCGAGTCTCGAGAAAAACAGATACGATCTGTCCATAGCCTGATGAACAACAAGACCACATTCCTTCTTGCCGGAACCGGGTTTGGGAAGTCTTGCGTAGCCGAGCTGTTTCTGATGCT